ACACACACACACACACACACACACACACACATACACACACGGACGACCTCTCGACAACATGCGTGCTTATTCAGTGTAGCGCTGCACAGCAAAAACGCATGAAAATGCCAGATTTGAGGTAAACTTCATTACCTTTGGCTAAGGCAGGATACAGGAATGAGAAACTTGCCTCATCACATCTGGCACATCGAGGCTTAATCTGTTCTGCATGATGTCGGCCACAAAATACATCAGCTCCGTGCTTGAAATAAATTAAATCCACTAGAAGATTGGAGCAATCGGTGCATACAAAACACTGAGGATGCCAGTGCACATCGCGTCCAAGTCGCTCAGCGCTCACTGCCAAATTTCCCTCGCACAAAGGCCCTTTGCACTGAAATCCCGCGCAATCAAAATTGTTTAGCAAAACAGACAAATGCCATTCATAATCTAGCTATCTACAGAAAATATTCTGTGAGCGGAGCGCAACTCTGATACATTTTATACACAGCTTAACCGGAATTTCTAATAAAAGCACTGCTCTGACAGATCTCTCTGGGCTGACGAAGGTCGCATTCTACAAATAAATCGTTTGGCACTTTGAAAATAACACCGATAAAAAATATAACTGGTTTTCGATTTTTAGTACATTACTAGATTTCGCTAACAATGAAAAACTAATACGCCCATCCAAAGAGAAAATACATCTGATCTGCTTTATTACACTTTTATATAAATCATAAATAGAATCAGAACGAAAAAAAACTTCGACTGATCCAACAGCTGAGCTGCTATACAAACTGCGGCGTGTCAGTAATCATTTTTGAAGAAGATGAACTGGAAATGATTGGTGATTATCTGTGGATGCGAGGCACTGGCTTCGCAAATTGCTATCACTTGCATTAGGAGTAACAAAAAAACATTCAAAAATTCCTAACTGTCTGCCTCAATGATGAAAAAAAAGCAGTACTCTGCAGCAACGGAAGAAAAAAGAAAATTCGCCCAAAAAAGTCTTAAACCTGATGGCAGTGCCGGCGCTTGTTGTCGTAGGGCAACTGCTCAACGGTACCACGACCAAGGCATTCCCGCTTTCGAGATGCTTCAAACTGTGCCAGTTCGAATTCCTCTTCGGCGCTCAGTTTAGCACAATACCTGACATCCGAATCCTGTGGTGGCAACTGATACTGCAGCTGACGCGCCCGCCATTCCTCACCAATTGAATTTACAAACGGAATTTTGTCTTCCGGTAAACAGGCGAAATACATATGGATCTAAAAATCACTAAAGCTATCAGACACACTCACCGGTCCTCAGCCGTCCACACTTTTTTAGACAAAAAGGTATGCTTTTATGGGTCACAATGACAGCACAGCATTACTTTGTATGCAACATTACTCTCACTTTGTACGCACTTTTACTAACAGCATTAATCTGTTCAAATTATTCTTTTTTCCGAGTAAAGTCTAAAAGACACTCAAGTTGCATTTTGCGAAGCAGCGTTTACTTGCTAAAAATGCTGTCACAACCACAACAAACTGTGCAAAAACGCTGCCCTCGCAATTGTTTCTCTGAGGACTAAATGACGACTACAAGTTTTGGGTTCGTAACAAGCACTATGGAAATCGTTCAACAAATTTTCGTCGAAACGAAGAACGATCAATTTCCTTAGCTGCAAAAACCTATTACATTTAACACTCAGAAGAAACTTTAGAGCCTCGATAACTGATACAAGAATCTCGATGCTCGTAGCCATTTTAGACATGCCATTCTTCCTCATTTTTTTGCCTCTTCCCTAGTATTTTTTCATGTCTTTCTATGGTTCTTTTTAACTTATCCGCAATTAATGAAATCTTTGACTCAT